AAAAAAAAAAAAATATTTTACGCTCTGTAAGGTTTAAAAACCCGTAATGAAAAATAACAAAAAATGGCAACACAGCAACGTTGAACTATATTTTCTCTCGGTAAATTGATGTGTTTTGAAAATAAGCACTTGCTAATTTTTTTTGGTGCGAACTTGAGCTTGATATCCTCTTTTTTTCAAGGAGATATCAAGCTGAAACGGTTTTATCCAATTCCCCCTCAAAACGGGGCCCAAAACCCCCCTCAAAATGTTCCTATCAAAAAGTTCTGTTTGTCACAAGATAGTACGTACCGAGAAGAGCAACTCACCAAATTTTTATGAAATTTCAACAATTTTTAACTAAGTTATCGATTTTTGACACTCGTCCCCATGTAATCAACGCACTGTGAGCCGGGCTATAGTTCCTGCCGCCGGACTTTACACTTTATCGCCTGGCTGTTGTTTTTTCGCCATCGGCTATAAAAGGCTATAGAAAATTGTGTAGAAATTTGTGTGCTTTGTAAATCCGCAAGTTTGTACGGAATCACCATAATATTTACAAAACGCACATTATATTTTCCTTTACTACATATTTTTTTTCATCAATTAAAATGAGAATAATCCATACAGAGTGTGCAAACATTTCATAGTCATGAGTTGAAAAACACTGACTCCGCGAGATTAATTATTAGAGCCTAACACAAAGCGCACTGGCGCCTACAAACCTAACAGGGATACTTCACGCATTGCGCAATGCGTGAAGTATCCCTGTTAGGTTTGTAGGCGCCAATGCGCGTTCAGCACTGGCTGCTCGCCCGCCGCGCCGCGCCGCGCCGCTTGAAGCAACTATTTCACACCAGAGGTATTGCACAGTATCATACGAAATTGAAGGCACTCCAACATATTAGGAATGGCAGGCATCATTCAAAAGTACGGAGCTTCCCTCGCAAATTAAATCAAGATACTGCGGCCCAAAAAGAGAGCGGTAGTCCAAAAACTCACTAAGTCCTAGCATCCGTAATTAGTAACGTTTAGCATACACTTCATAACCAGGCTGTTACTTAATCGTCATCGGCTATAAAAGGCTATAAGAAATTGTGTTGCCGGCTACAGAAGCTATTGGAAATCTTACAGTCGGCTGAAGGTCTATGGTATTTTGGAACACATATTCTACTGCCAATTTTTACCAGGGGTATTTTCTATAAAAATTCGAAGTCGAAACACAATATTCTGAATGTGAATAAATATGTTGGACTTTTTGTCGATTATTTAGTTGTGCGGAGGAATACAACTTCAGACCTCTTGTGCTCTGTTTGATCTTCATTTCAATTGGCTCCGCTCTGCTAAAATCGGTCAAACCTTTTGCCATGTCAGCAAAATTGGTGAAATCTAGAGAGTGCATACCGTGAAAAGATCTACATTTGATCTCGCTACTTGACCCTCTGAAGCCGGTTTGCCGTCCTTGTCGAAAGGAAGAAGAATTTTTATGGCAGTGATTGTTGCGCAAATTTACGTTAATTTTCATTTTTACAACTCAAACATACCAGTCTCTCTCTTTGCGGGAGCAAACCGATTCACTCTATCAAGTATTAAATATTTCAACCTGCTCCGAAATTTTAATTGCAAGAACTCACCGATGATTTTCAGCTTAAAAACTTTAATAAGTGGCAAAAATACAGCCGGCTCTTTAATCTAAAGTCCAATCACAAAATGCTGATTTTACAGACGAGTCTCGATAGCGCTACTTACGCTCTAATTTCGTTCTCATTAACGTAAGTCCTTTATGCCCTCTCGCAGAGAGCATGGTAGTCAAGTCAATTTTAAGTATTTAAAAGTTTAGCTACCCGAATTTTCAACGTTTTCCGATGTAGTGATTTTTAACCGATGAAAAATTTAATTTCTTCCACGTAAAATTTGGAATTACTTTGAGTATTATCGAAAAGATTTGCTTCAGCAAAAGTATCTATCCATTTTTTAAATTTGACCAAGTCCTAACTCGAGAAATATATAACTGGAATAATAACTTTTAGAGATGTCCTTTCCGGACGAAGATCTTTCCTCCGACACAATCCTCAAAATAAAATAATAATTTAAATTACCAATACAGATTTTGAACCCGTGTATTGTTCTTCATTGATCTACAACGAATTCATAATTATTTTTACTTCGTCATCTATATTTCATAACGGGGGTGTTTCTTACTGAGCATTTGTTTTCCTAAAAAACAAGATAGACATAATTTATTGGAATGCTAGACTCACGTATAAAATTGAGCTCAAAACCATAGCATTTTATACGAAAGGTTGAGCTGGAAATGATTTTCGTTACTTCTTTGTGAATAAAAAAAGTTGCCCTCCTGACTAAATAATATCCCGGCCCCGGGAAGTCGCTAGAGTGATTTATCCTCTAGTAAGCAAACTTAGAGTGGCTTATGAGTAATATTTTATTCAACGATACAAGTTTTGTGAGGTAAAAGCCAGAAAGCTGTTGACATTATTTGAAGATTTTTTATGAAAACATCTAAGATACTTCAAAATTTAATCTAAAGTTTTCTGAATATCCGCAATATTCAGCGGGAAATTTAATTTTTGGATGAGAAAGATAGGGAAAAAACTATTTATTTTGCAGTAATTTGAGCAAAGAAGCTTTTACCTTGCCTTGTGCCTTTGCCTCCCTTATATTCTCATATTTCTCCACCCATTCTCAAATAATACAACTTTTCAGAATTGTTGCGGGTTTATTTGAGAAACAAATGGTTGTGGGAACAATCAATGAAAAATGGTGCACAAAAATAGCAAACATCGGGTCCTTGCGATAAGCACGTAAAATATCCGTCCCTTTCCTTTTGCTTTACTGAAAATTTAGAGGAGGCAGAGTCGACATGGTGCGGGAAAATAGAGGTGATGCACGTTTTTATCCCGCCTTCAATTCTGT